GCAGGAATGCATACACTTTGCAAGAGGTTGTGGATGGGTTCCAGAATTGCTTTGTCAAGAAAGCATTTTGCACAGACTTATCTTCATGATCCAAATCTGTCAGGTTCACTGTCTTTGCTAGCATTGCTTGATAGGAGGCTAAGGCTAAGTTTACGACATCCCTCCTGTTATCTTTAATGTACTTATCCAAGTGCTCCACATCTTGGTGCCCGTGTTGTTTCATGCAAAAGCGAAAAATTCGGACATACATCTCTGTAACTGTAAATGGCTTATTCCTTGCTTCAGTAGGACTTACTGAAATGCAGGCAGCTACTATGAAGGCATACAGTGGTACAGAGCATAAACTAAACAACTCTGGGTTTTCCAAAGCACCAATGTCATCTGTTGTTCCCAACATCCACTTAAAGTATTCATAGATGGACTTATGATTAAAGCCCTGAACCTCCACTCGATAAGACCGACAGTCTGACAAATAACCTGTATCCTCAGCTTCTGGTCTGCAAGTGGTCAACACCTTTGCATCCTTTAGAAGTTCTTTCTCCATAAGTTGTTTAATCACAGAGTTTCCAATCACATCCATGATACCATCAAAAATGATAACAACATTCTCTGAATTGCTCTCAATATTTTCCAGGACTTGATCGGACGCTTTATCTGGGGATATGTACTTTTGAAAAAGAAGATCCTTCAAGTTTTGAGGATATGGCGACTGAGAGAAGACTCTCATCAGTGGCTCATCAAAATAAAACATATAACTCACTGGAATGTTTTTCTCTTCTGTCCAAAGTCTAAGTATCTCCAGTGCAACTGTTGTTTTTCCCACTCCAGGTTTTCCCACAAGCAGGATGCTTTTCTCATCATTCATTAGCAAGTCTTTGGGAGACAACATTTTCTTGGCTGTTGGAATGTAGGTCTTCAGTTTCTTTGAACGAGATTTCTTGTATCCCTTGTTCTTCTTAAGCTTTGCAACTGTACTAGAATCTGTGTCCATAACAAGGGGTACGTACATGAAGGGTTTTCTTTTTTGCTCATTTTTTAAGAAATTCATACTTTGGTTCCATTTATCATCCAGGATTTGTCTTGCTTTCCATCTCAAAAGGCCCTGGTATGTGGTACAAGGATCTGAATCTGGAAAACATTTTAAAACAAAATTCTTTAGATATCTACAACAGTACAGTGAAAACCAGTGCACTTCTCTGAATATATGCTCCAGTCTTAAAAAGGTCAATCAAAATAGACTAAATTTTCTTGTCACAAAATGACAATTACAAAAATATGGTGTTTGTTTAGCATTGCCTGTTTCCAAATTCCTTAAATTTTGAGACTTGATCGAGAACGGTCACCGAACTTCAATATACCAAGGCAGGTTGCCTCATCCTGAACCCCATTGTGCTACCACTTTGCCTTCCCCAACTTTCACAATATGCCTCTGATTAAATAAAGGTATTAATAAAACTACAGCTAAGAATAAAAATACACTTATCTAGACTACTTGACACAAGAAGAAGAAGAAGAATACAGAATTCCTGTGCTTGTTACCCACCTGCTTTGTTTGCCGTCTGAGATTGCGGCTCTTCCTGGAAGGAGAAGCAACTAATCCAGTGGTGTAAATCTGGAGAACCCAAACCAGGTCTTGGAAATACTTGAAATCTTTTTTTGTCAAGAATTTTTAAAAACTTATAGCATGCTTCTTCACCTTTAGAAATAACTAGGTCAAGTATAATCTTTAATTTATCCTGGGTAATTTCCGCAGATTCAATTGAATTAAGCTCATGAGTTTTGAAGAATTTGCACTGGTTTAAGGCTTCAATTACAGGATCACAGTTTAAATGAGATCCAGTTAGCAGATTGTGTCCATTTCCTAGGAATTCCTGTGCAGATTGCTGGGTGCTCGCCATCCTGAAGATTCTGTTCTGCTCCTGTCATAATCAAATTCTGAGAGATTAGTTGCGAAGATAGAGGGTAAAAAAAAGACAGTGTTTGGAATCATTAGTCTAAGCTTTAG